AAACTTGCAATTAAGCAAACTTTGCCCATCCAACCCTAATGGCCGGCCTCCTTGGTGTTATTGGGCTATTTTCCCATTTTGTTTTAGTTGTCATACAACTTAAACATAATGGGCCTTTTGGACCAAAACGCTTTTGGGCCCCGAAACCCAAAACCAACATATAAGCCCAATACGAACCTTTCGTATAATTAATTAACTAATTAATTAATCTTGACCATTCTTCAATTAAACCATTTAATTGCTTATCCATTTCATTTGATTTCTTCACATACATCCTTACTCGGTGTACGATCTATTAGGTTCTAATTAGCGAGGCAGTGGGCGATGTTACTCTTAACTATCGATTGTGAATTGAAACCACATTTCAATTCTCCCTTTTATTGATTAGTATTTGCTAACCATTAGGGCTTCCACAAACCATGGTTGACGCCTAGCAGCATGTCATGGTTACCCAAGCTAAGTAGAATTGGTTGGAGAACCTATCCAGTTACAACTACAATGCAATACGGTCATTCTCTAATACAATATACTCTTAATCACATTGTTTAAGTGATAGTTTGTTTCATGTCTACTATCCAATGTGATACTTTCTTATATGATTCCCTTGAATATGATTTGGAACATCCTTCCTTTAGTCATATTCATTTGCTTTGGCCAAAGACTTTAGAATCATATCTTAGAGTATTCTCCCTCCACCATGGAAGGTTAGAGATCCCTTGTTGTACATTCATATGCCTACATGACTAGATAGCTTGACCCCAACAATGCCGTGGACACTCCGAGGGAATGCCCTTGACAGGATCAAAGATCAAGGACCTAACCATTAGACATCTATGATGCCTCAGGTCAAAGGACTACTTTGCATATTGCAACCTTAGAGTTCTTACATGACATGTATGTTCGAACTCTGATTTGATCGTAGTTCAGTGTACTCGATTACTCTTTCGAGCACCTATGTGTCTGTTTTAGTGTCCAACACCAAATCACTTGAGACTAGTCATACTCACGCTTGAGTCAACATAACACATACTAACCTTAGCGGATTGTCAATGCCCAATTGGCAATCCTATGGCTAGGAACGTTTTAGGAATGAACATAAGAGAAAGGTCTCGATAATCTAACTCACTTAGATCACTTATCTCTTAGAACAAATACATTCCTTGGATTCACTTATTGCTTAAACACATGATACAATAAACAGTGATTAACAATAAGATTTGCCCTCCATTAAACATATAAAAGTTTAACATAATAAGTATTCCAAAAAGCTATTACATCAAATGAGTGGCTTTGTGGGCATACTTCCAACAGGATTAGGCTAAGAGACCTAAAATCCTTCAATTAGCTAAGCCTTGAAAAGGACCATTGTGGCTACTTCTAGGAATCCTGGCGTAAGCCATCGTGCATCTAGTTATACTAGGGCAGCCAGGCTCATCCACGTCTGGATATTCGGAGTGTAGAGTTTATCCTTCCGTTTTGGAGAGTTGACCTATGTGGGTGTCGAGGAATTGGTTTACCCTCTTGCACTGGAGAGCAATTAGTTTACCCTCTCACACTAGAGAGCATGGTTGGTCTATCGGGGGGGGGTGCAATTCCTGTGATGAGTCCTTAAGAAGGGCACGATCTTCTTTTGAAGTGCATGAGTGATTAGTTGTTGTAAGCATGCAATCGAGCTAAGTTGTGATTACTTATGAATTGCTCATTGAAAAACGAGAACTTAGTTGTAAGGTAGGAACTACATAACAACTGGATAGTCCTCAACTTGTGAGGTGGTGCCCGTTGAGCTACTTTGAATTTTCAGGCTTTGATGTAGTAGGAGGTCACACATTGTACTTCCTCAGTTTGTAGGCGTTCCACTGCTTTTCGATCTTTTTTGTCGTTTCATGGTAACGAGGGTGTAATTACTCTTGCCGCCTACTCTGCTGATCTTGTACGAATCTTTCCAGATGGGATTAATCTTTTTGAAACCTTCTCTGTGGGCAGTGATGAAGGCTTTTCTTAGGACTAGATATTCAGGCTGGAACAGCCAGATCTTGGCCCTTTTGTTGTAGCTAGAGATAAGCTGCTGCTAATAGGCTAGGATGCGGGTGATGGTCTGCTTGAGCTTCTCCTATACCAGATCTAAGCTTGTGGCCATCTCCTTACTGTTCTGCTCAATGCTTGGTAGTAGATCAGTGATACTTGGCTTGATGACATTGGAATGAATGATTGATTCTGAGCCAAATGCCAAAGAGAAATGAGTCTCACCGGTTGTTCGTCTTTTGGTGGTGCGATATGCCTATATGCATCTGGGGAGTTCGTCTGGCCATTTTCCCTTCTTGTTGGTGAGATATTTCTTGACGCAGTCGAGGATCATCTTGTTGGATGTTTCAGCCCGCCTATTGCCTTAAGGATATTTTAGCGTGGACATGTGCTGTTTGTTGCCATACTTTTGGAAGAACTTCGCCAAATCTTTATGCTAGCTCATCACATATTTCGTCACATATGCTAGCTCATCATATATTTCATCACATATGCTAGCTCATCACATATTTTATCACATATGCTAGCTCATCAGTCGGAGTCACCTCTAGTGACCTGTACAACTTATCCATAGCTCAATAAGTATACCTGCACACGAGTCGGAACCACCTAAAGTGGTCTGTATGACAGGACCAGGTGTAAATAAGTACGCTCAAGTGCTACAATCACGTGAAGATTGTGCGAATAATCGCGGGTCATCTACGAGTCGGAACCACCTACAGTGGTCTGTACGACAGGACTGTGCACTTACCTTGGATCCAAGGTGAGCATAAGGTGCGGGAGGTGAACATCACGTGAAGGACTATGCCTTGGCCACATGCGGGAGAACTAACACTGGGGTGCAGCTTTATGAGCTCTAACTGTATCTATTGTAACATATATGATTCATGGGCAACTTGTACGACAGTGTCAGAGTTGCCTATCATTGCAACCTATACGACAAGGTCGGAGTTGCCTAAACTTACATGTAGTCATACCATAACCCGTCATTTCAACTAATACCATAAACTCACTTGAACTTACCTAGGTGTCCTGCGCTCACCTTTGCACTTCAAAGCGTTCATAATAATTGTGTGCAGGTAATATACATATAGATAAATCATGATGAAATCTGATACTCAACCACATTATAGCATTTCCAATTATATATATATATATATATATATATATATATATATATATATATATATATATAATGTGGCATAAAAATGCATAAGCTGTAACACCCTATTCCCGAATTATTCATTTTCGGGAATAATTATAGGTGATAAGCCCAATTAGACACTAGTTTAATTAATTATCATTACTTATGTTTCCTTACTTCAAATTTTTGATTCTTTACACATGATTTATGACCAACATTTAACTACCAAATCATAAAGTTAAATCTCACATTTTCCACCAATGTCCCTCACGTTACTCAATTCCCTAAACAAGGCCATTGTCTCAATTATTTAATCTAATTTATTGTATGGCTGCATCTAACGTCTCGTTAGACTGCCTACGTACCCTAAACAAGGATCAAGCCATTCGTAGTTCGCTTAAGCACTTCAAAGTATTCACAGTAGTTATATGCAATAATCAATTTACAAACGTTTGTGGGATTGTCAATCATATATATATGATAAGAAGGGAAAGATCCACTCACCTGGAGTCTGTGCTACAATCTCCTAGCACAACTACATCTCAGAATTTTTATAAATAGATCATGTAATTTACGTAAAGCACTCCCTAAAAACATTTTAGAGTGATTTAAGCCCCATCTCATATAATTGTTAAAATTAAGCTAAAGGCATCTAATTTAGCCTAAAAATGACATCGACGGTCCCCTGGCCACGCGCCGCTGCGGGTGGCGGTCGACTGCCCCGATTCGCCGGAAAATCCAACTATTTCCAAAAATTACAAAAATTTATAGGAATGAAGATCTCAATGAGTAGAGTAAACTTTATACTTGCAGCCAAGTCTAATTTGGCCAGGAAAAGTTCCAATTTTGCTCAAACCCGTCGGAACCCTAGAAAATGGTGTGCTTCAATTCGACCTCCATACTCATTCCAACGCCTCAACCATTGTCTGGGCTTTGTTCCTGGGTTTTAGAGGAGTGTTCTAATGGTGATAATTGAATGAGATGGTTTCACAATTGATGGATCTCGAGCAAGGGTCTCACGACACCCCCGTGATTTATTCAATGATTTACACCCAAATCCCTTCCAAATTTGGGTGGAAATGGAAGAGAGGAGGTCAAGGGATGCTTTCTAGGTGAAGAATGGGTGACTTTCGTCAGAAAAGGTGGTGGAACCTAGTCGAAATTAGAACCGGGTCAAAACTGGTTTTGCTATGGGTGTACAGGTTAGTTGGGTTGGGTGCTCCACACCTCCCTCCTTTCCCTCTTGGTTCTTCTCTCCCATTCGTCACTCTCACCCTCCTTCTTTCCTGATTGGGCATGCCTATCTTCTTTCTCTCCCTCTCCCTTCATTGCTATCAAGCAGCCTTCCTCTTTTATTTTTCTAACCACCTCAAATAATAAAAATAACAATAACTATAAGAAATGAATAGAGTAATAAATAACAACCCTGACCAACGTACTTTCAAATTTATAGTTCCGTAACACCTCTGTCATAGTTTCGAATTCAATTTTACATGCGTTTACGTATTCGCACCGTCATGTACTTTTGAAATACAATAAGGTGATAGTTCATACGCATCATGAACTAGCGATCAAAGAAAATCAATACCCTCGTCTCTAGGGTATTCTCGTGAATTCACATTTTAAGATTTATAAAATCGTAAAATTAGGGACGGGTTGTCACAATCTATTCACCTTAAAGAATTTCATCCCTGAAATTTAAAATCATTGCTATACTACACTAAAAAATAGGAGTATAAGATATATATATATATACACACACACATAAAGCAAACATCAAGTTAGAACGTTTGTGCCAAGAAGAAAATGACATCCTGTCGCGGTCGGAATGCAATTTTTCCCCTTTCATGCTTTCAAGCACAAGTTTTCCTTCTCTTTATAGGTATAATAATGTTATATAATAGATGGTAAAATAATTTTCCTAAAAAATAATCGACACATAAGACACCGCTTTCATGGGCCCTATGGTGTTACTTTCGGAAAACTGAAGTAACCAATATACCCGAAAAGGCTCAACAGATTCGTAAGCCCAGATTTTGTAAAAGTACGAAGGTTTAATTAAAAAAAACTAAAATAAAAAGTCATCAGAGTTAGCTTCGGCAGTTGGCTGTGCTGGGTCGAGGGCTTGGGAAGTCGAAGGCGTAGTAGTATGAGGTGTAGTGGCGGGGATGTCGAAGCCTCCCCTCATAAACGCGGTGATGATTTGGGCCATCCTAGACTCTTGGGCAGCAATATGAGCATGCTGGGTGGCGATGAGGGTAGTTTGCATCATAATGTACTGATTTTGGGCCGCCACCTGCTATTGGAGTTCCACTACTTGCTCCGTCAATAATGTGACCTGTCCCGAGGTGGAGGTGGAAGATGATGCCCCCATCTCATGATGGCGGGATTTCCCATGCCTTGATACACCTTCCCCTGCATAAGACAGAGTTTCTGGTTGATGGTGTCTGTCATGATACGAAAACCCGCATCCTCGAGGAAGGGGGTAACTTCTCCATTGTGGTGTCAGGGGGAAGCTGGGAAGCCACTTCCTCGAGGACAACCTGATTCATCTCGACCATAGTAGCCTATAATTATAAAAGCAAGTTAATTAATATTTATATAACATTTATTTAAAATGAATAAGAATTATAAATTTAAAAATTACAAAAACTTACATGGATCTCATTCGTCAACTCATCACCAGGCCGCACGTACACCTCATTGAATGTGTCAATCTTAGGAAACTTTGACCCCGTCAGCCTTAAAAATTAATAAAGGCACGAGTTATTAGTTGTGTAATTTAGAGTAAGAGTAATATTTTTTTTTAAATGTGGTTACCCGACGTCGCTCCTCCATCCTATATGAGAAGCGTCGGAAGCCGGAGTGGTGGATAAGCTTCTTTTTCGACCTATTTATTGTGTTGGCCTTGGCTCTTTTCTGTTAAAAAGAAACGAACCGTATTAGTGCCGATATTCATTATAAAGTATTCAAGTAAATTAATAAACAGAATTAAAGTGTTAATAAAATATTATTAATCTAAAATAATTTAGATAATTCACTTACCAAGTATTTTTCGTCTTGAAAATGGGTGCAGAGCCAAGCCCAATTTTCAGAGCACTTCACCAACTCTAAGGGGCACCCATGTGCTATAGCGACAGCCGGATCGTTGAATTTCTAGAAATACTTGTGGAGGTCACTCTTCCATTGAGTGAACCGGCCGGTGAAAAGTTCTTGGATGTATTTGGTTTGATTGGCATCAAGGTCCTCAAGCTCATAATGATGATGCGAATAAGATAAAAATTAATCAAAGTTAACAGTTATTAATTTTCACAATTTACTTAAAAAATAATGGAAAAATAAACTTTGCTAACCGATAGCTCATGAAGAACAGCATCCTTGGTCTCCTGTGGGACAAGTCTCCAAAACTCCCACTGCATGGGGCAGTGGTGATGCACAACAGAGCCAATGTCGTGGACCAAATGGTTGTGCTGCTCCTTTGTTGATGTCGCCCGATGTCGAGCATCCCATGTAATATTCATAAGCTCCTGGGTGGTGCGGGTGAGTTGTGAGGTGCCCATGAGTCTACTTGGGCCCCTAGTGTTTTTACGAGTTGCAAAAATGAAATAACTTAGTGTAAAAGAAAATTAAATAATCTACGAAAAGTTCGACAGAACTTCCCCTAAAATACAACATTTCCCAAAACCTATAAACAAATATACAACACAACCAACACAAGTACCCAACAATTCACACATAAAGGAACTGAATAATACTATATTAAATTAGAAATTTTCACAACCTGTATTAGCTCCCTCTCCACATGTGGTGGAAGCCGATGCAGACTCCTCTACCTCGTCGGTAATTCGGCCTGTCGATGAGTCCGTTGGGCGCTCAATAATGGATGAGTCATCGGAGAAGTAGATGACTCAATCACTATAGACATCGGGGCTTGGGGTGGATGTAGGATAGCCTTCGACGTCGGGGCTAGTGATAGTGGAGCAGTGGCGACTGTAGGCGTAGGTGGTGGAGGTGTTGGTAGGGACCTACTCACTGACCTACGCTGCTTAATCAATTGCGACATCTACAAAATCCAATTGGACCCCATAATTATACAATTAACACAATTAACACATAATTATACAATTAACACAAAATTTATGAAATTGTAAAAGCAACCCTAAAATTAAAAAAGTAATACAAAAAATTTAAAATTTATACTTGTAACCTAAATATTAATCCTAAATTTATAAATTAAATTAAAATTGTAAACCTAGGATTTAGAAATTAACTAATTTAACAATTTAATCCCAACAAATAATACTTCATCCAAATAATATTATACCTATAACTAAAATCTTAATCCTAAAATTAAAAAATTAAACTAAAATCCTAAACCTATGATTTTAAAGTTAACAAATGAAAATCGTAAACTAATTTAACAAATAAATCGTACTAAGTAATACTTAATCCCCCCCCCCCCAAAAAAAAACCCTGAACCCTAATGTTATACAATTGTAACAATGTAAAATAATCCCTAACATTAGCAAATAAACCCTAAACTTACAAAACCCAAACAAAAAATTATCAAGTTAACAACTTAATCAATTTAACTAATTTAATATGTTAACATATTAACAAATTGAATAAATCCAATTTAAATGAAATTTGCAAAAAATTAAGAAAATAACAAACTAATTAAACCCTACCCAACCCCCACCTTGCACCACCTCCACCCCTACCCAACCTTCACCCTGCACCACCTCCACCCCTACCCAACCCTCACCTCACGACACCTCCACCCCAATCCAACCCCCATTCCCCACCGCCCATCTCAACGCCCACCCCGAGCCCTAATCCCCAAATTGCCAAATTCCTAAATTCCCTATTTCAAAAATTCCTAAATCCCCAATTTCGAAATCCCTAAATCCCCAAATTGAGATAAACCCTAAATCCCCAAATTGACAAAATCCCTAAATCCCTAACCCCTAATGCCTAATACCCTAATACATAATCAATCCACAAATATCATACAACTAAAATAATTAACAAATGAAGAAAAAAAGAAAAGAAATTTACCTAAGAGTTGAGAGAGAGAGAGCTTGAGGGAGAGAGAGAGCTCGAGGGAGAGAGAGAAAGAGTTGTAGAGAGAAAGATAGTTCGAGGGAGAGAGAGTTCAAGTGAGAGAGAAGTTTTGAAAAATGAGAGAAAGAAAAGCTCTCTGGAACTAATAATGCGAAGGATCATCAAGCACTTTTAATGAATTTAAAAAAAAACCTGTCCAATTTTTGGTTAATTTTGAGAACAATGTGCGACAAAAAGAAACTAATTCGTCCCCCATAAGGAAAAAGCGCGACAGATCTAGCACATTTCATCGCACAATATTTAATGAACATTTTTTAAAAAAGGCGCCTACATTTTAATTTGGGAAATTTTGAAGGACCTTTAGGTACGAATTTAGCACCTTTGTCGCACAATACTGATTGCATGACGAATTATCCTCATTCGTCGCTCAATATTTAATGAACATTTAAAAAAAGGCACCCATATTTAACTTTGGGAAATTTTGAAGGCCTTGCGTGACGAAAGTATCTGATTTCATCGCACAAACATCTATTATGCGATGAATGCGTACCATTTGTCGCGTAACCCTGGAAACTCAATTTAAATTTCATATTAAATTTTTCTACCTTGCACAACGAATGTTCTTATTTTCGTCACGCGTTTACGTTATGTGCAACGACTTTCTTTTGTTCGTCAGGTAAAATTAACTTTATTTTTTTTTAATTCATTATCCAATTACAAATTTAATAAAAATAAAAATTTGTTTATATACAAAATATTAAATACACTTAATTGCATTGCATATAAGTCAAAAGTCCATAATCCTCATCCTCGGTACAATAAATATCACTATCTTCACTTTGATCACTTTCAGTCTCTCATTCATCCTCATCCGTTGGTACATCAAAAACATCATCCACACCCTCAGATGGATTGTATCTTGGGAGACTTTTGAAATCAATTGGAATTGAGTCTATAGGAATTTCGATTTGAGGACCTTCAGCTACCTGAAATGGTTCTTGGACAATATTAGTCTCGCGAAGTGTTTTTGCACCAATTTGTGTCGAAGTTTCATGGAGTTGGTCAACAAAGTTGTCGTCATCGTCTTTGTCATCAGGATCTTGGTTCATAATATAATACACCCCTCTGTGATCAATCCTCTGAACAACTTTCCATCCCCTCCCGGTCTTTGGGTCATCGATCTAGAAAATTTGCTTAGCCATAGTTGCCAAAATGTACGGAGCTTCATTGTACCAACATCGATTAGTGTTCACCGACAGTAAACCATCATCCCATTTAACACTCCCATTCCTACTAGGGTCTGTATCAAACCAACGACACTTAAAAAGGATGACTTGGCAACGGTCTTTGTAAAGCAATTGGACCACACTTGTTAGTTTGCCATAGAAATCAGTGTTTGCAATATCTCATGCTTCTGTGACATGTACCCCGTTATTTTGAGTACAAAGCTTGTCATCATGCTCAGCTCCCAAGAATTTTATGTTGTTCACATGACATCTTGAGTACAGCTCCGTGCTTAAAGGTCCGATAGCCAAATTGTATAATTTTTCAGTATACGCGGGGGAGTTGGTTTCCTTCATTATTTTCACCTAATTTAAACCAAAAATTTGACATGTTGGTTTTACCAAAATTTAAGACAACTAATAGGCAATTTAGGAAAATAACCATCCAAAAAAACCTAAACAACTTACTTGCTCGCAAAACCAATGAGGAAACAAGTCACTGTGCTTCATGGCATATAAATGCGAAGGTTATTTTTGCTTCATCAACTTTTCATGCTCATCCAGGTACTTAATTATCTTGTCATAATTATTAAGTACGAACCAATGAGCTACCTGCATGTCCCTTTCCGTGAACAAATCACCTCGTACTGGTTTGCCAAATGGTCGTGTGATTTGGGCAAACACATATAGTTTTTGCCTTCTCACACCACCGTCATTATTACGTTGTGGTTGATTGATGCTGTCTCAACATGTTGTAAGTATATAGCACAAAACATATTCATCTCAAACGCCACCCAAACCTCCACAATTGATCATTCGGGCTTCGCCCTGTTCCTTACCCTTTTCTTTAACTCACCAGTAGTTTGCAAAATAAAAATTGTTATGATTCAAATAAGTTAAATCATCAATTGCTCACGAAATAATACATGATTAAGGACTTCATACTTTTCAATTGGATACATCCATCGATAGTTGACGGGTCCGGCAAGTAATGCCTCATATGACAAGTGAATCATCACTTGTATCATGCTTGTGAAGAAAGAAGAAGGAAATATTTGTTTAAATTTGCATAGGACTTCGACAATGTTAGTGAGTAACTATTGTACATTAGACTTTCGCAACATCCTAGTAGATAATTGTGAAAAAAACTCACCAACAATAGAATCGGCTTTACCACATTTTCTGGCAAGAGGTGTCGAATACCAACTGGGAGCAGGCGTCGCAGTATGACATGACAATCGTGGCTCTTAAGCCCAAAAAATTTGCCCCTATCTACATTTATGCATCACCCAATATTTGAAGCATACCCATCTTAAAATTTTACGGAGGATATAAACTTTAAAAACTCTTTCCTCTTCTCTAGTTTTACTAAAAGAAAGATGCTAGGTCATTTCTGGCTATCTCACCCTCCCTCGTCATCCATAAACGTGGCCTTATTCCCATTCGCTCCAAATCGATGCGAGCTTTGATCATGTCTTTCGTTTTTCTCTCGATGTCTAATATAGTTCCAACCAGTGTATCAAACATGTTCTTCTCAACATGCATAACATCGAGATTGTGACGCAGTTTCAATTTCAACCAGTACGGCAACTCAAACAACATACTTTTGTGTGTTTAGTTTAGATAGGTGTTTGGTCTGATCTTATTAACCAATTTGCCAAACAGACCAAAATCCAAACGATTCATGTGACATCCCAGTCTCGGCTCCGTCGTAGCACGGTATTGTTCGCTTTAGGCTTCCCATTCCCTTACGGTTTTGTTTATGGGAACTCACGAGTAACTTCCCATTGGGTCACCCATCTTGGGATTGCTCTCGTCCAAACTCGCTTAACTTTAGAGTTTCGATGGAATCCGAAGCCAATGAGTTTCCAAAAGGCCTCGTGCTATAGGAGGTAGGCATGTACATATAGGGCATATCACCCCCTCCCTGTTGGTCGATGTGGGATGTTACAATTCAAGTGCATTAAAATATTTTCTCCGGACCATTCTTGATGTCTTGGCCGAATCTCTGTTCCGTGGAAGAGTGTTGTCTTGTTTTGACGCCACTCGTGGTCCCACGACAACCATCTACGTTGCCCTAGGTAACAAACTTCCCGGCATGCCAAGAAGACGTTGTGTCCTCCTTGCAAACTGGGCATGCAAAATAACCCTTAGTACTCAACCCGGACATCATAGCATATGTTGAAAAACCATTTATAGTCCACATCACTATTGCTTGCAAGGTGAACATCTGCCCAGTTGATTTATCGTATGTCGGAACTCCGTTTTCCCATAAATCTTTCAGCTTATAAACCAACAGCCACAAATAAACATCAATAGACTTACCCGGATCCTTGGTTATCAACATAGTCATCATCATATATTCTTTCTTCATGTATTTCCAAGGTGGCAAATTGTACGGAATTGTAAAGATTGACCAAGTGCTGTGGTTTTGGTTTAATACCCGAACGGAAAAAGACAAGTCAGTGCAAGCCATTGGCTGCTAGTACAAAGTAAATTCTCTCTATTTCCTTCACCGACTGATGCAAATAAATAAAAAAGGAAAGGTTCAGAGAAAGAGAGAGAGAGACAGAAAGACAGAGTGACGAGGGACCCTTGATAAAAGCAACTCCAACGTTGCAAAGGCCTTCTAGGGCAACTCACTATTGAATCCCCCCCAGTGAACAGTAACTGCCTTTTGCATCTTCACCACTAAACTGAATAGCCATGGCAATAAGCAATAAAATATTAGTATTTTTTATTTTATAAAATAATACAAAATAATTTTATTTGTAATTTCGGATATGATTTTAATCGGTCTCGTTGTACCATGTTTCATTAAATAAGAAATTACAACTCAAAGTATTTGAAAAAATATAAAAAATTGTGGTGTAAGACGGAAAATAATGATAAGATATTTATAGAAAAATTAAATCTTTTTTTAATTTTTTAATATTTTTTTTAGATTTTTTATTAATTGTTTAAATTTTTTTTTACAATTTTTAATTAATTTTATAATGTGGCTGACATCAACCATACATCATATGGCCTCATGCTCTTGGGCCACCAATTCGAGCCAGGCTTCTCACTCGGGCTCCCTGCCCAATTGCCCGCATGGGCTGGAGAAGATAGCTGGGGCTATTGGGTCATCAAAGTCGCCGGTCCATCGGGCTCCAGCTCCCACTAGAGTTGCTCTAAGAGACTATGATAGTGGCATATCCACTGGATTTCCATACAAAAACAATCAAAATATTTTGATTAATTTGCGGTGAAATAAAATGACTAATTATTATGTTTTTTAATCGACATATTGCCTAGCAATGAGTTTTGAATCACAGCGTGCTACGCGTGATTTACATATTTTAAATGTATTTATATGCGTAAATTGACAAAAGGAAAGTCAAATATTTGAAGTAAATGAATAATCTTAGATCATGCTAAAAGAAACCCTCATAAACCAATTAAAGTAGCTGAATCCACATAATAAAATCGGTCTTTATAGAATTTACATTAAGAATAGAGAAAATAATATTTAATAAAGAACTGATTGAATCACATTATTGCTAGCCCATTGTGAGGTTAGGCCCACCCCTCTTCCCTTTAGTGTAGATAATATTGTTTGTTAAAAAAAAATCATTTGACAACTAATTTAGTTACATTATTATCTGCGTGCGAAATACCTTTTTTATAACCGGCATTACACTCTTCTTAAAATGTTTTAAACGTGTTTAAAAATAGAGAAAATAATATGGAATGAACAATTGATTGAATCACATTATTGCTATCATATTATGAGGTACTAATTAAAAAAAAGTACAAAAACAATTATTAAAAAAGTAATGTTAAAATGAAGAAAATACCCCTACATTATT